CACATTTTGAATATTTAATTTCCACAGTTATTGATCAAGAAAAAAAGATACGGTTCATTCACCAAACATTGACCATGCAAACATGGTCAGCAGAAATGTAAAAGGTAGTGCACAAAGATATTAACTAATTAACTCAACAAATAGTTTAATGTATTGTACGAAAAAGTAAAAAACATAATACGACAACTTATCCCAATAAAAAAATGTAATCTATATTTGAAATTGACACTTCGCTACAGGAACTAACCCAACAGCTATTAAAAATATGATTTTGGAATTTTAGTTTTGAGTATAAAATTCACAAAATGGATTCTATATTGTATTATTCTTTGTAATTATTCTAATAATTCAACTTTAAGACAGCATTTGAAACCAACAAACATCTGCTAGAGAAAACACTAATTTGTGTAATTGGACTATTAATATAAAACCTTTATATACTGTAGCTACTGCAGTGTTATTTTAGAATCATTGAGATGATAATATCGTTTTTCTAAATATTTAATTATTATTTTTTAAATATTTTGTTTTAATTTTAATTTAAGTTGAGTAATTTTGTTGTTTTGTCTATATATATGTCTATATAGTTTTTATTTCAGTTTTAGTTGTTTTAGTATCATTTTAATATCAAGTTAGACTAAATGAAAATAAAAAAATGTTGCCTTGGCAACTAGCTGTAATAAAAAAGAGTTCCCTTTCAAACGCTCTCTCCCGTTGCGCTATGGGGAAACTCCTACTCTGAAACTGAAGCCTGATTTGATCACGCTCGTGTAGCTGCACGAACCAATGGCGCTTCAAGCCACCAAAAGGGGTGGAGCCGACTGCTATGTAAGTCAGCTCTAAACGCCATTTCGTCAGAGTGTTTCTCCTTCAGTGGCAAAGGCAATCTTATTCAATTCAGTGTTTTCTTTTGACCTTCAGTCTGCGTTCATTGGCTGTGTGAATATCCTCGTCTCCTGGTTTGATCTTGAACTCGCCTTTGGACCATTCATCAAAAACCTGATAAAGATATTTTTAAATACCTCAGTTATTCATAATTTGTGACAATAAATTAAAATGTCTGATAACTCTTTTCGCAATATTTCCAGCCATATTGGGGAGACCGGTGTTAGTTGCCAATAGAGCTATATCTCAGGAGCTCACCGTTATTATAGTTAACCAAAACTAAAACCAAACTAAAACTTAAAATTAAATTAAATAAAAACACTCCAGTTACCTAAGTAACTGGAGTGTTTTTATTTAATTTAATTTTAAGTTTTAGTTTGGTTTTAGTTT